CGAGCGGATCAGGCAGGCAGGGTGCTGGACGGGAGGAGCCACCTGTCACCTGCTGAAAAGGGCGACAGATGGACGCCGGACAGCCGTGGCGCCTTTGCTCATGCCTGTCCCGCCCCCCCTCCTTCCTCACCTTTGGCATCACCTCAGACCCCTCCCCTGGTCCTGGAGGGCCATGCTGTTTGGGAAGGTCACGTTGTGCGAGCCGCAAAGGTTGGTCGTCAGTCAATCACGTACCAGTAGGCAGGCCGGGCATACCAGGGCCGCCCGCTCACTCGCTCACCTCCTTCATCTCTGTGCCCTGTACCCTGGATGCCTTGCTCTGTTACCGAGGCCAGCGATGCTCTGGGACTCCACTCTGGCTAACCAGGGGGGGCGCAGCACGCCCTGCCACTGGTCATAAGCCCCCCCCCCTCTCTGCCGACTCGGAGGGAGGGTCACATCTCGCTGGTCATGGCCCACAGTGGCGCCACGCTAGAACATCTCGAACGATTCGAATCTTCCAAAACTATGGGGCCTTTCTTGAAAGCCCCAGAAAGGGGTGGGGCCAGCGCCTGGCTTCTGGCCCCATCGGACGGACCCTCTCAGCCAATCCCTTGCTCTTCCTCTCCGTTCAGGCCGAGTGACGAATGAAAACACAGTCAGAGTCCAGACGCCAGAAGCCAGATTGCTGCCAGACGACTTGATTGGTCCACTTTTTGGACTGGTGCTACCCCAGTCCCGGCCACTGCGAAAAGCGGCGAGTGATCAAGCGAAGTCTGTTAATAAGCCGTCATGCGACCAAAGAGTTACGGAAGAGAATGGGAAAAACGAGAAAACAGCAGTCAGAAAGAAACTGATGGAGGAAAACTAAAAACTGGTCGATAGCGGGACTGGACGGTGAAGAACGAGAATACCCCGTGTAGCTTCTTGGATTCTTCGTCAATGTTGTCGTCTTTTGCGCCTTGTGCTAGCCCTCCCCCCCTCCCCAACCTTACCGATTGATTGTTTGGGGGCGCTGAAGGGGGGGGGCCGGGTTGGAGGGCTGGGCTTCGTCTGGGGTCTGGAGATCGACAGTGCTAAGGTACTCCAGCTGCATTGCACTATTTCGGACGAGATGCTTTCCTGCCCGTCGACGTAATCTCGTGGCAGATGAGAAGGCGAGTGTGCTTCCTTTGGAGGGGAGAGAAGGAGGAGGGGGTAATCGAACATGAAGACAAGGCGGGACTTGCCGCCCGGTCTGCCCAGTCTGGCGCCGTGGCATCATCCCATCTTCACACACAATGTCTGTCATGTTGCTCATTTAAAAATCTTGCCTTGCCTTGTCTCTCTGCCCAGACACACATATATGATGACCGGTTGAATATATCTGACCATGATGTCGATCTGTCCATCGATCTACGTCGCAGTTGGCCCCGAACGCTTGTTGCTACCACACCCTGCACACCACCCTGAAGGGAGGCACGCTCCACCATCAGTGCTGGCTCGGATAGAGGCACCTGTCGATCGATCACTCGTGGCGGATGTGGCTTGTACGGTTTGTTAGAGACAGCCTATTGCTTAAGGCCATTTGCCAGCTATGCCGTCCGCGTTGTCGTCAGT